AGGCAACGAGGACCCACCTCTATTCGGAATAGGAAGGCTTTGAGGTCATCTAACCGGAACGCGCTTCCGATAGAGATCGCTTGGGCTGTGTCGCCCGCCCAGAAGAGGCCATGAGGGTTTGAACAAAGAGCGCGCAGAACTGGAACCATTGTTTAGTCGTTCATGACTCGATTCAGATGGGACACATACTCATCGCATCGATCAGTAAGTTGTCCTGGACTTCGTCGACATATCTGGTGGGACTGTCAATCACTTGCGCCTCTAGTAAGGTGTGTACGAACAGATGATCAATTCGTGTTCCCGGGACACCCAACTCTTCGAGGTATCGCAATATTTGGTGCGTGCTAACAAGCTTGAGTGACAAGGTATACGATAACCCATGACTACACACCGGTCAGCAGAATCATAACCGTTGTTCTCCATCTTCAGCTTGAGGTAGGACTCGAAGAGTCCATAGACATCTGGCGTGCGACCTTCCAACGTTGAATGTTGACTACTCAAATGCTCGTAATCTTGTAAACTGAGGTACCGCTTCTCTTTCGTGAGCGTCTCCTCCGAACCCTTAATCATGCCTATACATTTTGTATGAGTATGAGAAAGGAGATGAAGACGAAGCGAAAATCCCTGTACCTAAGATCTCGCTGAAAACCAGAGCGGGATCTGATGCCAAGGTTAATGAGATTTGACGAATGAAACGGCGCACAAACACTTACCCAGTCCTTTCCGAAGGGGTTCTGGAAAATGAGCCCAATACGTTGACACGAAGTTCTTATCGAACGAGATCATGTCAGCCTTACGATAGTCCTGCCGCTTGGCCAAAATGTCAGCTTCTAGTAGGTCGCACAACTGACAACACAATCGTTAATGCGGACTTAGACGCTGACATACGAAGAGCGTACTGCATCGTATGTAATGAAGAGAGGGAAGTGCTTGTCTTCCAGCTCGCTATACTTTTCTGGGAGATCCTTCCGCACTTCCCTCTCTTCTTGCGGAATGAGAGAGATGCTTGTATCGCGGCCGGGCGGCGCTACGGACAAGCTCCGAAGCTCCTCCAACGTTTTCGATGCGTGCGTCAACGATGTCGACAGTTTCTCAAAATAATCCTGAACCTTGGTCGCGAGATGGCGCGACTTTGTGACAAAGACTTGGCGAGGCCGTGATCCGCCATTGCCGACCAAGTGGTGAGTGCGCTCGATGAGAAGCATCTTGAAAAGCATGGTTGTGGTCTTTCTGTTCAACGTTTTATTGAGTAGGCGATTAGTAAACCTTGTGTGAACGGGACGAACCCAGTACCACTGCGGCCGATAACATAACACGACGTCGGGTGCTCGATAATCTTCTTTTCTTGAGAGCTGCAGATGGCAATTAGGCATGCAGTGAGCGCCTGTTCACACTTACGAGACCAAATGAGGCAACGTCATCTCCACGTCGGCCATGATTCCTAGAGAAAGCTTTATTGGTGGAAAAAACACAAAGCCAGCCGGGTATGCTCACCATCGAGAAATGGCTGTTCTTGTCAGCTTCCGTTGATAGCTATAGCTAACGGTACACACCTTGGAGAACGTGACAAACTTCTCCACGCTGAAACCGAAAAGCGTGTTCATATCAAATCTATCAGGATAGAAAGCGTACGCACACAACTCGGGAAAGGACCTAGTCAACAGTTAGAAGTCCGTGCACTAAAGGTAAAGCTTCACGTTACCATGGTAGAGTCGTTCGAAACTACATCCGGCAAGCTCGCGACCTCTGCCGGTAAAACTTCAGGGAGCGCCGGGAAGGTCGCGGGCACAAGCACATTCTTCTCGCCCGCGAGCGTCGACGTCATGCGTACCGCACAACTACGCCACGTCGATCAACTGACAACGTTGAAAAGCTAAAGCGCACACTCACTGCTCTCGATAAAGGGTGCCTTTCTTGCGCAATTGACTGCTGATGGCAGCCCGAAGTCGGTTGTCCATCTGCGTATGCGTGCAAATATCGAAAATCTTGATGGCTAACGAGACGGTCAGTTTACATGCTGTCTGAAGCCGGAGTCCATTACCCTGTTGTTCGGCCTGCAAGGGATGTAATGTGAACCAAGGATGGAATGATGGATTGAAACGACGAACCTCATTGTCTGTCGGGATCAAGTCTATTTGATACTACGGATGGTGATCAATCGGTGAGAAACCAACTTAAGCTGTCAACACGCACGATGATCCTTAAATCCCGAGACAGCTTGGCCTCGAAGACAGCGACATCAGAGGACGAAAACCCGCTCAGGCGTTTCTGATTGTCCTCCGAAAAGTGACCCATTGACAACTCCCTATCAGTTTGTCAGCAAACGACTTCCAAGGAGACGCCTGTGGAGATGTACTTGATCTTCTTGACTATGATGTCAAACGCAGCCGGGCGTTTCTTCCTCGCACGCCTAAGCACGTTTTGCACGCTGTTGCGCACAATAATCTTCCACGCTCCGAAACCATCTGGACTATCGAAATGGAGGGCGCTATGAGACAAAGTCAACTGTCGGAGACGCGACGAAATGATCATCCAACTTACGACTTCATAGGCTGAATGAACGGGTACACAGAGCCTGGGGCAGCGGGACTCTGATTGTCAGCTTGCTCGTTCGCTTGGGTCTTGTTCTTGTTTTCCTCCGAAACGGTGGATGCTTGCGGGGGTGGAACGAAGACGGATTCCTGTTTCAAGAACGCAATGACCTTCTCGTCTTGCAGGTACCCAAAATAGAACTGTGAACACCCATGGATAAGCCTTCTACCGTATCACAAACTAAGCACCTACTTCGAGCACTTCCTTAAGCTTCTGTAGAATCTCCTCGACAACCCGGGATACGTCTGGCGGGGACGTTGGCATAGGTACTTCCAGAGCATCGTAATATTTCGAGTCCACAGCGGGAATCATAGGCGCCGCGGCGCGCTTTGCCTGCTTAAGCTTCTTTTGGCTCGGGGCTTTCACCCGTCGCCCGGTGGGAGGTGAATTCGCCACATCGTCGTCTTGTACCTTGGGTAGCGCATATGTGCTCAATGCCCTCAGGACAATGCTGCCCGCCCGAACGATGAGATCGTTGCGGGAGAAGATGGACTTGGTTTCACGATCAGCGAGGTCATCGAAAAGAAACAAGAATGTTGAGGAGAGATTGTGTGAAATGCAGTCATGAACGCTGTCAGGGAATCCTGCAGCACTCGTAGGGTATGCCCGCATGAGGGCAGAAACAAGATACGAGGGCACATCTAGAATCGTCATGTCTGTGTCAAACATCGATGCCACATGTGGTGGAGACCTACTGGCTAGAATCAAGGCTAAAGTCGTCGGGGTTTCATTGCGTGCAGCGGTGAACACGACATTTTTGATATTCTTCTCTTGCAGAAGAGTACTAAACTCGAGGAGCGCACTGTCAACCGCATCAAGCGATTTGAGCTCGGTTCGGAGAAAGAGGTCGGGGCGGTAGGGGCAGGAGACTGTCATGGTTGGTGGGAAATCTGAACGTATGGCTACGCGTATAAGTCAGAACGCAGTCAACAAAGGAAACGATAACTGGCGTTACTTACACGAGGAAGCGGGTCGGACGCAATCAAAGGGTTCTTTTAAGCGCCCGCCAACGGAGGTTGCGATACAAAGCACACGAGACAAAGGTTAACAGCAATGGAGAATTCCCAATTCTCAACTAGGATGATGATCTGTCCAAACTTCGGTAAACTCTGGAGGTTTTACAGAAGGTCGGAGAGGCTGTTCAAGGTGCAACCACGGGAACGTTACGACAGATATAGTCCTCGCTCCAGGCTGTAGCCCTTGGAGTTCGACATCGCCAAATACCCATCTTCTTTCTGGCTCATGTTTGATCTCGTGTCACTGGCAAGCACTCGGCAAGCCCTTTAAAGCGTAGCTAGTTAGACATGCGTGGGTAAAGATGGTCTGGTGCATGTCAAGATATAGGTCCGTGCTCTGTAAGTGAATTGCTAGTCTGAATGAGTAATTACCACGGTAAGATAGTAGAAGACAAGTTTGGCAGTCGATCTTTGGCACTGTTTCTGTTCCATCCGAATGTCTGCTGGATTTCCTCGTCGTATTGGGGTAGATGGGAGAAGAAAATGAGCGGAAGATGCAAATGTGTCCTGAAGGGTTTTGGAGGAGGTCGTTTGCGGCCATTGGAACGAGAAATTAGAATGGAGTCGGCGCGACAGTGGGATTCGGAAGGAAAATCGGACGGTCACGTGCTCCTGACTTCGGATTTCTTTCCATAAGCGAATCTGCAGCGTCTACTGAGGCTTACTCCTAGCGGTAGCTCTTTGTCTGGCTAATGCTCTGGCTCTGGATTGTCCTCTGTGTCTCATTTGCCGAACCAACTTGCAATGCACTAATCTTGCCATCGCGTCTCGTTGTCCACTGCCAGCACGCAAACTACCCGTACGAGTAAGTAGAATGCATATTTTTTTATTATCTGAATCAATGAATACTCCTTCGTACTACCTCTGACGTCTCATACAAGTCTGCTCCAATATCCCGGCGCGAGAAGCACCTCGTGTAAGCGTATGCTTGAGCAAACGGGACTCCATTGGGTATGTCCCACAACGCCGCGGGAAGAGCAGTCACCAGTGTGATTCAGCCCGTCCGGAGTCCAATGCACTGTCCTCACAAGTCTTAGAATCTGTTGGTAGTACGCGACATGTCGCCATTGTATCCATTACACGGGGGGATTACCAGAAACTTATTCAATGTGTCCAGACTCCAAAGGCTGGAACGCACATTGACGTACCCATTGCCTAGGGTGGCGCAGTAAAACCTTGGTTTTGATACCTCTTGAGTTTACTGTGGTATTCAACGGTATTGATACTGTATCAAAACCATTATTAACACTGACAGTTTCAAAACCTGAGCCTCCTGAGACCGGTATCGATAACGTTACTGACACCCCGGGAGGTTTACAGCGCCACCCTATTGAGGATCCTTAGCAGTATTGGGTATAAAAGCATAAAAAGAACAATCATAGAAACCAATATTGATGAGGATGGGATTCGAACCCATGCCCTTTCGGACCAGATACAATCGTGATCGCCACCTAAACCTTAGTCTGGCGCCTTAGACCGCTCGGCCACCTCACCGTGCCGTTGAGATCAACTGCGCTACCTGGATCAACAGCCCTCGAATAACTCTCACATCCCATCGATGGCCTTCCCTTGATACCCCAAGAAACCTATTGAATTCCCCACCTCCGCCTCCACACAGATCCACGTACGTCGATGTAGCAAAGTCGCTTACATTCCAGTCGCGTCCAACCGTCTCAGCCATTCATGGAACCACAGAAACCGAGAAGGGTGTATTAGAAGCACAACAAATATATACCTCGAACGAACTTGGAACAGCTCTCAAATAAATAGTATAGTCTATGTATGTTCTATCTCTATAGATGGTATCAAGTGGTCATGAGCGGGGAGGGTGGTGGATACAATTGTGTTGAAGAGAGAGAGTCCTCAAAGCAGGAAAACGAAAAAAATACTGTAAATCATAAAATCAAAAACCCAATCTGACATCTACCATGCTCCGCCCTCGCCGCGTACAGCGGCCTCAAAGAGACTGAAGCCAGGCAACTCTTCGCCCTTCTTGATATCCTCGCCCTCATCGTCGCCAATCTTTAGTGGCGCAAGCGTGATAGGTGTGTGTAAACTGCTAGTGCTCGAATCCGGTGTACTAGGCGTACTAGGTGGAGGATGGGAATACGCATGAGGATGAGTTTGGTGGCTACTCGCATGTATCGGAGTCATGCCAAACGCCATCCGAACTGAATGGGCTAGATGATGATGCACATGGTGATGGTTGTTACTGTGGGGAGGAGAACCACTGCGACTTCGGCTACTAGGCGGAGTGCGGAACTATGGTGCGGTATGCTCGGCGGCGGTAACATAAGTGTGGGACTGGGAGCGCGAGACGGATCTGCGCTGTGCAGCTGGAGAGAGCGAAGCGGGCCGAGAAATGGAGATGTGCTTGGGGTATGTGTAGCGCTGGTGCGGAGACTGGAAGAATAATGAGGTACATGCGGGCCATCGGAATCACTCGATTGTGGCGAAGGGCTGTGCGGGCGATGGTATGGATGGTGGCGGTCATGATGCATGTGGTAATTGTTCGAGTGGTGGTGCTCAAACGGTGTCATCTGCCACGCGGGACCAGACAACCGACGGGTGATCTTGCGTTGTTCCGTATGCAAAGGCTCGTCGTCGTCGTCGCGGGCATTGGAGATACCAAAATAACCATTACCGTGCATTTCTGTAGTGGGTGACGTGGTCGCGCTCTTGCTCATCCTGAACGAGAATGGGGTCTCCACCGTTCTAGACTGGTATTCCGCCTCCGCAGTCATCAGCGTGGCGCGCCTCGTATTCTGCACGGCGCAAGGCTTCCTCCCTTTCCAATGCATACAACTCGTCCATCGCGACACTCGAAAGTGTGGTGAAAGGCGTGCTCCGCCTGGAATGAGGCACATCATAGGAACCGACTGCCGTGGGTCGCGCATAATCCTTGAGGAAAAATCAAATCAACCATATGGACATCGATTAGAATCGGCAAATACACACCTCATCATCGCTGCCCGCCCGACTTCTTGCCTTCTTCTTGATCCTTGTTTCTCCCCGT